TACAGTCAATTCAAAAAACGTTGTCGTCGACCGGCTCAAGCCTATGCGACTGGACCGAAGGGAATATGGGTAAAACTCACTGAAGCGATTAAATATTCGTTCTGAATTAATTGTTCCCGCTAGTAATAAGATAATAATGGCGAGAAACAATCCAATAAATGCATGTCTTCGGGTTTAGGGAAAGAAAAAAAAAAGTAGTAGTTATGATTCAGTTCACAATTTCGAAAATATGAAGGCATTAAAAAAACGTCTCCTTCAACACTTCCCGCTCGCCTACGAAGGTTCGTGCTGTAAACCACGCATAACTAGTCAGATAAAATTATGCAGTCAACTCGGCTTCAATGATTACTACCCAGAGTTCCTTTCGGTCCAGTCGCGTAGGCTTAAGTTGGTCGACGACAACATTTTTTGAATTGACTGTATATTACAAACGGTACAGGTTCTAAGTCTATTTTTTGTTTCGTAGGAAAAGAAGGGGAATGGCTCAGTGGATTTTTTGACCGAGATTCATTTGTGGAAACTTTGCACGACTGGGCCAAGACTGTTGTCTGTGGAAGAGCAAGGTAAGAATATGAACCATGACTAATAAAAACGATGAATGTGACTACTTTCTCTCTTTTATTTATATTCCCTTTTATTCTCTTTTCTTCCTGTTTGCCTACTTGGCTACCTCTCTCCCTCCCACTTTGCCTACCTCCCTCCTCCATTCCTCCTTTCCTGCCTTCCTACCTCTTTGCCTGCCTTCCTTCCTTCCTCCCTCTCTACCTCTGTTCCTACCTCCCTTGTCTACCCACCTCTCTACCTCCTTCCCTCCCTGCCTCCCTTCATCTCTACCTCTGTGTCTCTCACTACCTTTCTACCCTCTAAATAACTCCCTCCCTCCCTCTTTAACTACCTCCCCGCCCATTCAGTCATGCACCTGCCTTCCTCACCAACYCTTAGCTTCTTTTCTCTCACCTTCTCTACCCACCTATCTACCCAACCTACCACAAACCTGTCTACCCAACTTACCACCAACCTACCTACCGAAACAACCAAACATTTAACCTAAAATATGGCAAGGAAMTACGTCAAAAATGTCGTATTTGTTTAGATTGGGTGGATTTCCTATCGGAGTACTTGCTGCTGAAACACGCGCGGTAGAAGTCGTCATCCCAGCAGATCCTGGCAACCCAGACTCTGACATCAAGGTTAGATATCAATATTCAAGCATTCAGGCAATGTAACCTAAGGGGGAGGGGCAGCTCTCATTTTTGTACTCCAAAAATTCCATACTTGAACATTGAAATGGCGTGTATAGTATGCCATCAGTAGACTTGATTCCGGACTCGTAGGAAATTTGAATGGCAAGTTAACTATAGAAATGTATGGATGATAAAGCATGAGGGTAGTGCTTATCCCCTTCACTGAAGGCTGTTATTGAGATTCATTCTGCTGATTAGTACCATACAATAAAATACTTTCTGTGTTTGCCTGTCATTGTAGGCGGTATCAAGACTCACTAGATTCATTCAGCCGATGGATATGAGCAAGAGAGCATAAATAAGAGAGGGAAACTTCTTAATAACGCGCGCGCCATGTAAATTCCCGGTTGGGCTATTTCAAGTAACCGGATGCAGTTTAAATTTCGCCTTACCCTAATCCCATGCGTCATCCACTTGCGCGCGCGCTCTTTCCGTTTATTCTTTTGATAACTATTTATGCTCTCTTGATACGAGGAAAAATGAAATAGATATATATTGTTTGATTCATAGATAAGCCAGCAAGCAGGTCAAGTGTGGTATCCAGATTCGGCCTATAAGACAGCTCAAGCCATCAATGACTTCAACAAAGAGCAGCTACCCTTGATGATCTTCGCCAACTGGCGCGGGTTTTCAGGGGGAATGATGGACATGTACGACTCTGTTCTAAAATATGGAGCGTACATTGTCTCCGCTCTCCGTGACTTTAAACAGCCAGTGTTTGTGTATATCCCTCCGTACGGGGAGCTGCGCGGAGGAGCTTGGGTTGTGATAGATCCATTTATTAACCCTGAAGCAATGGAAATGTATGCTGATGAAAAGAGCAAGTAAGAAGCACGGAGTTGAGCTTTAGGGGTCGTACTAGTCCTATACACTCATTATTTCACCAACAAAGATCAAGGTGTCTGGGTTTTTGGCTCCAGTCAGTAAGAAAATAATATGACAGAAGTTTGGAAATTTTCTTGACGGAAACCAAAGACCTGGATGTTTTGGGTCGTGTGATTATTAAAGTGGGTGTTAGGTTTACTCTTATTGAAAGGAGACGTACAACTTATTAAACAACAATTTTCAAGTTTGCCGAACTTTTTTTGGTTGCTTTTATTACCACTTAGCGCGCGACAAACTTTCATTGTTGCACGAAGTGTAAGCTCTCTAATTTTGTTCAAGGAGAAGTCAGTATATTTTCTGTTACCCTGACCTGGAATATTTAGGTGAGGAGAGGGACTGGGAGAATCACACATTTAATTTCAGTTTGTGATAATCAAGATGGCATCTGGTCAGATTTGATGCTGATTGGTCAATATTAGTTTTACGTCATTTTGCGTCACTAGCGACTAAAGAAATGAATTTGCTTTTATTTTTTTTTAGAGGTAATGTTCTAGAACCGTCTGGAACAGTAGAAATCAAGTTTAGACGCAAGGATCTCGTTAAGACCATGCGAAGACTGGACAGTAAATACATAGAGTTGACACAGGGACTTACTGTGACTGGTAAGTAATGATTAGGCTATAATAGTCCCCTTCACAGTTCCCTGCGCCATCTTGAAAGGTAGCCATGCCTTTGCATCGAAGCAAGACGAACGGTGAGCTTCCAATGATAGAGACATGTGAATAATTGTCCAAGGTGTTAAAAAAAGGTCTCTATCATTGCAAGCTCACTGTTCGTCTCGCTTCGATTCAAAGGCACGGCTACCTTTCAAGATGGCGCAGGGAACTGTGAAGGGGACTATTCTAAAGGGAAGTAGAACATACATACAGAGAGACAGACACACGACACACCGTCAGACACACAGACAGACAGAAATATCAGTTTGAAGAACAAAGTAGGAATAATGAAATTCCTTTTTAATTTTTTTTCTCTTCAATGCAGACGTTTCTCAGAAAGAAAGAGAAGAAATTGAAAGAAAGATAAAAGAAAGAGAAGATGAACTAATTCCAGGATATCAACAGGTGAGAATAGATAACATCTTATAACAGACAACAACAACAACAACAACAACAACAGCATGTAGCACCATAAACAACCACAGCCGCGACACTAACAACAACAGCAACAACAACGAAATGGACACAAAAATTTCCAACGAAAACAATAACAACATAATGACTACAACAGCAGGAGCAAAAACAACAACTGCAGCAACAACAACAAACAGTAAGAGACGCATCATTCTAACACAGGAATCCATTATCTATGTTTCAGGCAGCGGTCGACTTCGCTGATCTTCACGACACGCCCGGGAGAATGCTGGAAAAGAATGTAATCAGTGTAAGTATGCTAATCTTAGCTAACCACAGGGAACCCAACTTAAATAAAAAGTTAGACAAAAATATAATTCTAAAAAAAACCTTGGTTGAATATTTTTGGGTTTGAGACCAAGAAAGCGTGCTAGCTACATGATATTAGTGAAGGGGAAAATCAGGCAAAAATACACTACAATATTTTCAGCTGATTGAAACTCATTAATTATCTGAGACCAAGGTCAAAGGTCAAATTCACGAGCCGAACCTAATGACATCAAAGAAGACCGCCTTGTTAACCATTGTTTCAATTAGGTTCGGCTCATGTGAAGTTCGACGTTTGACTTGATCCTTAGTAATAATATGCTCTAATTTTCAAAATCTGAAACTCAATCTTTTCATTGGTTTATCAAGGACATTATCAAATGGAAGCAGTCAAGAAGGTTCTTTTACTGGCGGCTGAAGCGTATTTTATTGGAGAGGGAAGTGAAGGGACGACTACGTGGTGCTAATGGGTTTGTATTAATAAACTCCAAAAAACCTTCAAGTTCAATACCCTGAAACAGCCTCTGGGTTGATCTAAGTCATGGCACGGCTAACTCACAGATCAAACCCTGAAACAACATCTGGGCTGATCTAAGTCGGCACGGCTAACTCACAGATCAAACCCTGAAACAACCCCTGGGCTGATCTAAGTCAGGCCACGACTAAATCACAAAAGTAATTGGTGGCTTGTTGGGATTTGTGGAGGGAGACAAATCGGAGAACCTGGAGAAAAACCATGGAATCAAGGGCGAGATCCAACAAAGTCAACTTACATGTGATGTCGAGCCCAGGAATCTAACCTGAGAACCCAGGATAGGAGGCGAGTGTGATTGATTGCACTACCGCTAAACCAGTGTCCTTTCAGTGGGGAGACTTTAACTGACTTTATCATGATGTCGATTGTATTTTTTTTCCAGTGACATTTCATCGGGGCAGCTGAATTCAACCTTGGAAAGATTGTTTCTGGAGGCCAATGGAAGTGCAAAGGTAAACATTGTGGGTGGAACATCTCCCTCTCCCCTGCCCTGCCCTGCTGTGCTGATCTGCTACGCTCTGCTCTGATCTCCTATGCTCTTCTCTCTGTTGACTGATCTGCTCTTCTTTTCCCTCCCGTGCTCTGCTCTGTCAACTAATCTGATACACTCTGCTCTGATTTTCTGCTCTGCTTTGCAATTCTCTCCTCTGCTCTGTCTACTTATCTGCTACGCTCTGCTCTGATCTGATCTCTTATGTTTCTCTCTTCTCTCTTCAAACAAGTTTTCATAAAGTTATTTAACCTACTTTAACAGTGCATACAAATCTTATATCACCCTGTCTAACCGAACATATTCATACTTGCAGTCCTACTTGTGGTCGGATAACCAGGCTGTATCAGAATGGCTTGAGAAGGAACTGAACCAGGAGAAGGATTCAGTGATTGCCGACAACATTAAATGGTTCAGAAGAGACTGCGTGTTGAAAAGCATCAAGAAGTATGTGTCGTGACGTTCTTTTTCATTTTGCATTCAGTGTCAGTCTTAGCACAATTAGAAAAGATAAAATGGATGGGATGGGACAGGATAGTAAAGGAAATATAGAATTGGATGGTACGGAAATGGGATGTTTTAATGGGATGTTTTAATGAGATGATATGGATTTTTAGGAAGGGTAGAGGGAATGGGAAGAATGGGGTGGGATGGGAAGGTTGGATGGCATGAATATGCCATTTATAATAACAAGTCACGTGACCATACCTTCTTAAATCGAGCAGTTGTGTCAAAATAAACACCAAAAAAGAAAAGAGCACCTCGATATTAGTAAGAAGGCAAAGTTTTAGCTCTTAAGAAATAGCACACGAGAAATGGCATTAAGAGTATAAAATCGAATATTCTTAGAAGATATGTATGGGAAAATGTTTTTGATGGCAAGAGCTTGCCATACAGCTCATTTCCCAATACAAATGGGCCCTTTCTCAAAATTATCTTGAATGCGTGGCTAACATGAAAATACAAAGAAATACCACAAATTCCATCGAGCAAAAGTGTGATTTCTTTTGTATTTTCATGTTAGCGTTGCATCTACGTTCTTTCTGACAAGGGTCCAATCTCCACTCACAAAATTAATTCAATTTCTTTTGAATGTTTTAGTCTTGTTCAGGAGAACCCCGATATCGCAATGGATTCCATCGTTCACATCACCCAACAGATGAACTCCACCAATCGCAACGAGTTCTTTCGCATCCTCAGTAACCTCGATGCCAAGGCTAGTTTAGAAGGAAACAATTATGTTACAAGCACCTGAAACATGCCAAGGCTACTAAAATAGATATCGCATTATTTTAACTATTAATTCAATATTAATTCATTAACGACGTGAAACCTTATAGTTTTGTGTGAATGGCGCAATTCAAACACAACTATTAAGTTTCACGTGTAAAACCTGCGCGTTTTACGTTGCAAACGTCCGATATAGAAGCTTTTAATGAAACCTACCATTCGCGTAACGCCTCACAGAAGCTCGCAAATGCAGTATAAGAGAATAGGCCCTTTGTAGCTCAGTAATCACGTGCTGATTAATTTATTGAGAGCAAATGAATGAACATCTTGATTCCCATGGGTGAAATATATTGGTGAGCAAACAAAATTTCTACAACCTGTTTCGAGAGATCGTAATAAAACCGCATTTCGTAACACACTGGTTACACGTTTTCATTCGATCAGTTCTTTACAAGTAGCTAAAAAGAATCGCCAATTTAAAATAAATGTAAAATTTTGCTCACCAGTACAGACACGTGACCGTTAACTGCAAAGGGCCTATCTAAACCCAAAGTTGATTGGAAAGGTTTAACTTGCCATGCTCGAATGAGATGATTCGAAAACACTTTAGGTTATAGTACTAAAGTTTAATGCCAATATTTATCATTGAACAGAGAACCATACACCAGAGAATATGGACTAATAAATTAACTTTAAATTTTTTATTCTGCTTTATTTTTGAAATTAGAGTTAGGCCCCGTCCACACGTATCCGCAAATTTTTGTATCCGCAAATTTTTTTTGCGGACACGGGTTGCGTCCACACGTATCCGCAAATTTTTGTATCCGTATCCGCAAATTCTACGAAAACGGACACGTGTGGACGGTGAAAACGATTCGAATACGCTGCGTGTGGACGCAAACATTTTCGTATCCGCAAAAAATAATTTGCGGATACAAAAATTTCCGGATACGTGTGGACGGGGCCTTAGATCGCAAGAAACGATAATTCGTTATTCGTCAATTACAAAATAGCGCTTATGCCCGCAAAGCATTGTGGGTAATTTCTAAATGAACGTTCGATTCTTAGCAGTCTTTCCTCTAGTTACTTTAGTGATGAATGGTCAAATGCGTATGTACGTAATTTAATTTTAATATTTAGCACGAAAAATATTTTGTATGTTACTTGCAAAAGTAGCCTTGCGTTTACTCAGACATCCTGTAGTATGATTCGATACCATTTTTATGGTGAACATACATTTTATCCTATATGTATATATCTAACGATCTTTTCACGAATAGTTCATTAGCCTTGTTCGGAGACTATTCGGAGTAGTGAGCCTTCGTTTTTAACTCAGCGGTATAAAGCGCATGTGTCTTAGAACCCAGATAACTATTTGTGGGGATGGAACCACGAAAATAAGGTTTTCTCACAAATTGGGACGAAGAAAGACGTTCCGTTTACCAGCAGAAAAGGTTGTGATGAAAACCTACGTGAAGACATAACTGGACAGCAGGTATTCGGACGTCCCAACAGAGGGTCTCAAGTCTTCGTTTTCCATGAAGTGGAGGGGAAGCATGACCAAGTGGCCTCGTACTTGGCGCAAAAGGTGGTGAACCTCTCTCTTACCCAATGGTGTATTTTCCTTACACTAGATAACAAGTGAGTAAATGAGTTAGACTTCTTGTCTAAACTTTTCCATCACAATTCAATACTTGTGCAGTTAAAAAAAGAAGAGGAGAAAAGTTTAAAAAAAATAGAGAATAGGAGATGAGAGGAGGGAAAAGCAAAGGAAACCCAATCCAACCAAAGGAGAACAAACAAAAGGAAAAGAGATAATCGCAATACTGGAATATATCAAAACTAGGGTGCCTAATAAAAGGAATATGACGTTGGCTCTATTGAAAGAAAGATTGGAAATGTGGAACGAAAATGAATGACAAAATAATGGCAGTCATGTGCAACAACACAAAGAAACAAGAAATTTTGTCATAATTCAACTTGACAATGGCGTCGCACCATAATTAAAAGAATGTACGCAACGATACTTTATGCATGAACATACCTTGTACGTGGCCAATTCAGCCACGGACCTGACCTCATCACATGGCGTACACTGGAAAACCTAGTAAAACAGGACACTATGTTAAAGAAGCAATGTTATTGGACAGATCCAGAGAAAATAATTGTAACAACGGAACAAAACCCGAACACATGGTTTAACGAGCGGGTGTCAACGTTCTTGCTATCATTCCTACCTTGCTATAAATGTCTGTGTTTAGCTTTGCAGTTGCCATCCAAACATCCTACAACAAAAAACGTAAAGTTGGATAAAAAGACACCCTGACAGTTGTGCAGTTCCCTCCGCATCCCATGATGTCTTGATTAAAACGATAGAATTCAAGATGGCCTCTATATCGGTAAAAAGGCCTATTGCCGAGAGTCATGCATTCATGCATTTCCATATGATGCATATAATGGCTGCCATATTGGATGAATTTGAAAGAAGATATCATCCAACATGGCGGCCATTCCTACTGCTGTCGATGCAAAATACAGGAGTATTACTTCATCATGGTCGCCATGTTGGATAAATTTACGTACTGTGTTTAATAAACGAGCAGGAGTATTTTATAAGGTATAAAGCATGAGGCGCAGCCGAGTGGTTTTAGACCCGATAAAACACGATCTGCGAGTTTATTAAACGACTTGGAAAACTCATGATGTATGTTTTCATACTGTACCGAATTCTTTACGAAATGAACCAAGTTTGATAGAGAAAATCCAAGTTAAAGTTTATGCAAATGAAGGCGAATCTATATCAGATACAAAACCTTCATGGTCATGATTTCTATTGTGTTTCCTTCATGAATTATATATTTATGAGTTAGGATATCATCCAACATGGCGGCCATGTCCACTGCCATTGATGCCACGAATAGAACTATTACCTCGTAAAACTCTTTGATCACAGGATCGTCCACACTAACTTCACCTTTCTTATCTTGGCCCAAAAGTCCTAGATGCTCTCTATAACACATGGATATAAACAAACGTTTTTAGAGTTCCAAATTACCGCTGTGTTCCTTGATTACAGACTCATTTACTCAGAATTAGCCTCATTTCAGTGTTTAAATATTCACAAATACTAACGGTAAAGTAAAGAATGCATTATAGTCTGACGTTATACCGTTCACCAACCTGAAAAGATGTGTACGTAGAGAGTGCGCGAAGACACCAGCTTCGTATGGTGATCCATTCATGGTGGACGAAACCTTCAAGTCAAAGCACAAGAAACTGAGAGAAAGCAACAAAACACTTGGAGCACCAAGGTATACGCCGACTACGAAACGACTTTAAGTCGAGGGTGGATTCGATAAAATACAGTAAAGGAATAAACACATCAAGTCCAATCTGGCCTTGGAGATGAAATCGGGAAATATATATTGTCATATTTACCGTGTGAGTGTCGTGTACGATGACTGCAAGCTCCGAGTCGCGCCTGCCTATAAGACTTCTATCRTTGACGTTTGCTATATATGTACACAAGAATACAAATGTTATACACATAAAGAATTAGTAGATACTAACTATTGCACGGGGTAACTACTCTAATGTGTAATAAACAGATTCGACCGTCCACACGAGGCCGTATTCACAGTGTATCCAAACAAAATTTCGCCGGATACCTGTGGACGGAAAGCCAATGAACGAAAAAATTGCGGATTCATAAACATCCGGATACTCGCAAGTAAAACTGGGTTTTTCTTTTCTTTTCTTTCCTTTTTTTCTTTCTTTCTTTTTTTTTCTTCTTTTGCTATGTTTGGATAGCCTGCGTCACATCCGGAATTTTCTTCGTAAAATTCCGGATGTGACGCAGGCTATGTTTGGATGGATATTTATTTTCAAATCTGCTTACCAGATCCAATGATAACCGTATTGTCATCAGCGATCATCATCTTACTGTGAACATACACCAGTTCTGTTATCTGTTGCGGTACAAAATAATAATAATTATTAATAATAATTTAATACTTATATGGCGCAAATTCGCATGTGAATATATGATCAAATGCACCTAAAAGAAGGCTTTAGGGGACTTAAAAAATCTACGACGGTGACGTCGACCAGAAGTGTAAATAATTTCTCTTTGGGGTTCTGTTCATTGGAGATTTCATTCAAAACGTTGCTAGTAATGTCAATTCATCCAAATAGAAGACAGACAGTGGCGGATCCAGGATTTTTCAAAGGGGGGTTCCGTTTCTTAAACTGTGTATAATTCTCTTTTGTTTAGTCGATGTTTGACAAAAAAAATTGGCTCTAATCACCTAATTTACTATCTAGTAACGGAACTTAAAGGTAAATAAAACATAACAGCAAATATCAAAACTACTAACATTTTTTAAATTAAAATTTATATGACATATTTCTATTACCTAAAAAATCAAACCTTCAAGGGGGGTTCCGTGGACCCCTTCGACCCCCCCCCCCCCCCATGGATCCGCCACTGACTGACTTTCAAGGCGCGAAACCCTAAAGTGAAGTTATTTGATTGGATGAGGTGTATCTCCTTGTGTTGTGATTGGTTAAGTCTGGATCAAACTAAAATCGGAATCGGATTCGTAAGCAACGTACGCAGACTCAGTATCGCATTTATCACCTAGGTGTGAAAAGAGACAAGCACTACTAATGAGCAGCACACTACTGATCCTGTGTATGCTGCTTCCGATAATGATTACGACGCTTGTGTGAACCTAGTCTCCCCCACAGCCGCTTTCAGTGTCGTCGCGCGACCCTTTTCCCCTGAGTAGGGGGAGAAAGCGTTGCGTGACGACACTGAAAGCGGCTGTGGGGGAGACTAGTGTGAACCAGGCTTAAACCAACATGGGGACAATCTTGCACCGTACCTGTGCTGCGTGCAGTAATGTTTCATAGAAATAAGTTTGACGACGTTCTTACCGGCTTGCCATATATTACAGAGTGATTTCGAAGAGAGTAAAATGAGATGTACTTTGATGGGTCCCCAACTGTCAAAAGAAAAAAATTAACGAATGAGCGAATGGATGAACGAACACCAAAGCAACGCAAACATGATGGACRAACGATCTAGTACTCGATTACATTAATCAGACAAACAAAAATTACGGGATGAATTCGAATAATCTAATCTAATAGATTGAATATCATAGTTTCATGGTACCTTTATGTGATATTCTAGCAAGTAATGAGTCTTGTCCACGACAAATTGAACGATAATTCCAATGGGTTATTGCACCAACTGATGTACCAGAAGGACTGCCAATCTCCCCTAAAATGCGCAATAAAAAAGGTAATGTTTCACCATATTAACTATGGTTTCACATGGGTTTCAACAACAGAACTTCCAATACTCCAAAACCCTTCCTGGTCATGTTTAACACACGCATCTAGCCCTAAAACAACCTCTGGACTGATCTAATTTAAGTCGGAGCAAGGCTAACTCACGAATTGAAAGATCGAATAGTCCCCTTCACAGTTCCCTGCGCCATCTTGAAAGGAAGCCGTGCCGATGTTGGAATAATTGTCCAAGGTTTTAAAAAAGGTCTCTATCATTACRAGCTCACCGTTCATCTCGCTTCGATGCAAAGCCGGGCACGGCTACCTTTCAAGATGGCACAGGGACTGTGAAGGGGACTATTGAAAGAGCGCTAGTAGGTTTTGCGGAGGAAGGTAAACTGGATGAAAACTTGGAGTAAACCCCTCGAATCAAGGGAGAGACCTAACAAGCTCTACTCACATGTGATGCCGAGTCCAGGAATCAAACCCAATTTAAACCCAGGAGAAAAACCCTTGAATCAAGGGAGAGAAATAACAAACTCTACTCACATGTGATGCTGAGTCCAGGAATCAAACCCAATTTAGACCCAGGAGA